TTTGTCGCATTACGTTTTCATGAGATGTTCATGAAGCGTGTTGTGAATTGAGCCCGCGCCGCTGCGACTGCGAGTCTTTGCAAACGACGACGAAAGCAAGAATGAACGAATGAATGTCTTTTCCATTTATTGCAGTCCACTTCGAACTTCGTCCATCGCCAGGACACCGTTGTCGTCATTGTCGTCGGGCAGCAAGTGGACGCGAGGTGCCAGATGGTCGTTCGTTTTTTCTGTCGCCGGCGCTTCCGGGTGGCCAGTGCCCGGTACGGTCGCCCAACCGTGCTACTGTGGCGGTCTCAAATGCTTACCAATTATTTGACTTGTCATTAGCATTATCCATAATTCTTGCCACCTAAGTTATAAACATTTATTGATTGACGGATAAATAGAAAGCAATCGCTGTTTTACCGTGTGAAACCAGATTTCGCTTACGTGAACAAAAGTAGTGCGATGGCGCTTGGAGTAATGTGAGGTTCATCTACTTGTACGGCTGCACTTCCCTTTTACAGATGCGCCGCTACCGCGACTGAGACGCAAGATGCATGCATGCGGGTAGGAGGTGACATTCGCTTACCAAGCACAATTTCTTCTGTTCAGCTACATTTCCGGAGGTATTGTCTGAGAACTGAAAAGAAGTCAACCGTATGTCACCTCTGTCGAACGAATGGTGTGTTGGCTCCGCAATGACAACCCATCGCAGATGAACAGTCACTCAGAACAGCGGAATACTTACACTGAATTGGCTTTCTATTGAAATGAACAACAGAAGAAGATCAAGAAAGTAAGGTTTATATCATTCGGAGTCGGTCACCGATTCGGTTGAGAAAGAGCAAGAAAATTTGAAAGTAGTAAAGTTGCAGTTGCATTTTTTTCATTTCATTTGAGTGTTTGCTGACCGCAGTCAGCACACTATGTCTGCTTTCCAGCGAAGAAGCGAAGAAACGAAAAAAAGTAAAAGTAGCACCCGTTTTCGATTAGCTGAAATAAAATGGACTTTAATGGGTACGACATCTATTGAGAATTAAAACAAACTGCATCGCAAGACCAGTAATGAATGTCGAGACCATAAAATAGAGGCCAAGAGGCAGGCTAAGCAAGAAATCGGTCGAAGTTGTGCACCTCGATATCATGCTATGCCAGGGGCTAGGCAGGCAGACCACGCTGGATATAAATGATGCCAGGAAGTAGAAGAAACTAGTTAATCTGTGTGGAGAGCGAGATCCTTTGCGCTTCTGGTTGAAATCGATTAAGTCTTCAGCTGAAGTATAAAGTTCACTTGCTGCTGCAGTCACATGCCATATGGAATTTACTTTTTACTTTTATAAGGATGTGGGGGCTTTGTTTCTGTAGCCATATGCAAAATTCTCACGGAGTAGTTCTACTCGTTATGACATATTTACGGTCATGTCGTAGAACAATTTCATTTATCGATGTGCTTCTCAACGTTGACAACGTTAATCGCACCCCGTTTCGTATATCGACTCAGCGAACCAAGATTTGGCTGTTGCAGAAACTAATCCTGATGAAAAACATCGGCCTGTACCAGACACCTAGAGCAGAAAGGAGCCTCAGCAGACCAAAATTGTGACTTCGTATACTTTCTTCCTATAGTGACCTTGCCATTTGGTTGGTGTTTGACAGAAAACAGCCACAAAATGAAGAGGAATACGTAAGTGGCTGGCGTTGGCGATAAGTTGAAACAGAATCAGCTTATACACGTGGATCATGTGAATGAACCATTAAAATGGCAGTGGAGATACTGATGAAGAAGTAAATGGGCCTGAACAAAATTGACTTGTTGATGTCTAGAAAAACGAAATGGAGTGAAAGGTCGTCCAAGTAAAGGTGGTTTTCAATATAAATAATCTTCAAAGGGCAATAAAAAACAAACCTCTGTTAACGCCTTGGAAAAGAAGGTTTGTTGAAAAAATTGAATCGAACTATTTTGGTACGATTTGAGGATCATTTCCAGTTTCCTGGTTATAGTGAGATTTGCATGAATTTCAGCTCACACGCACGCTGCAGGGAACGCACAAAGACTGAAGTACCTAAGGGATCACATACCAAAGCGGGTAGGTATACTGGACTGTATTTTCTCAAGCCGCTGCGGTACCGTAAGAACTTACATTAACCTCATAGTTGTGAGTTAATGGAGTGGTGATAACCGAACACTAACTTAAACTATTGAGGGAACAAGTACTCTGACCACAAATTGGGATAGAAGAATCTAGGTGGGGAAGTGGGTTTTCGTCTTTGTTTCTGTAAGCAATATGAATTCTTCGTGCCGACAGTCAATAACTTAACTGAATGGAATGTCTGTCCGCTTCTCGTCACTTCTCTTGAATTTCCATCTGTCGTGACCAACTTTCGTTGTTGTTTCATCGCCCTAATATTCGAAACTTCTTTTGCACAGATATTGTTGCTATGCTCTAGATTCGCTAATGCGATAGATGCTCTACTGATTGACTGAGACCCTCGCTGCCATTTCCATGACTTCAGCATACTATTGTCAATACTGTGACTCCAGCAGTAGAGACTGTATTTCGGTACTGTGACTTCAGTAGAATAACTCTCTGCGAAGCGCTATCCTCATTTTATGGTTACTGAACGGCGAGCAAATTTTTCAATACATGGTGTCCTTCGATTGTTTTCTCCCTGAGTTTATCGATAACTTATTTGAGTAATCGATGTCATCAACTTATCACTAGCCTAGTGTCACTGTTGAACGACAAGAATTTT